GTTAATAAACCTCAGAAAGATCAAGCAAAGCCTTGTTCTAGAAGTTTGAATATTCGAGATTAATCTAGGCTCACATGTTAAATAAAAAATAAACCGCAGAAAGATCAAGCAAAGCCTTATTCTAGACAGTTTAGATTTGAACGTCTTTATATTTTAAAAAAGCCTTGTTCTAGAAGTTTGAATATTCGAGACTAATCTAGGCTCACATTATAAAAAGAAAAACTTATGTTTTATAAGTTAAACGTACTCTGTAAAGTGTAAACCATGCTAACATAGTCAAGCAAACATTCTCTATTTTGGCTGCCGTGACAAGTATCACTTGTGTGCTCTAATTGTAAATGAATGTGTCCGTCTCATGTTCTGACTAGTATAGTGTGAATTATTAAGTTATAGGAACCGGAAAAATGGACAAATAATGTTTTTTCAAAGACAGTATGTGAGCATACTATTTTATATTCGATTACTGAAATTACGGAAATTTATTGAGTTAAAAGTAAAAGGTTATTAAAGTTTTAAAGTGGAATACTCTTGCGCGGTGACCGAATAAACAATATTCAAACTAATACCTTCATCTCATTCCTGGGTAGAATATTAAGTTATCGGTGGTTGAGTTACATTTATATAGTCTATGCTGATTGCTGCTGGGTTTCACTTGTTGATTGTGGAAGCCCCACTAATTAATGTTTTGGAAGTTTTTAAAGCTTCGCGAAGTTTACAAATGGTTACAAAAGGGTTACATGTTTCACCCTAAATCATCATAACCATGGTAATCATCATAATATAAATCATTACCATAAACATTCAAAATATTTGATCCAAATAGGACAAATCCAACATGACAAAAATCTCTGCGGAGCGAAAATTGTTAACGGTTAACTGGTTAACATAGTGTGCAAACAGAAGAATAACAATATGTTATGATCGTTATCATTATCATACGAGCGCTACGTTAATTGAGCTGGAATGATAAATATTTGAAAACTTGGCTCATAGCCAGGTTTTCCTGGAAGGGATGGCGTGATCTTTATAGATCAGCACAACTGCACATTGACTACAAAATATTTCTATGCCTTTTGATCAACCTCTGACTTTATAACCCTGACTATAATAATAGCCCTGACTTTGACAAAAGAATCTGTGTACGTTCTTGTCAACTACAGTAAAACCTCAATTTAGAGTTTGGGGAAAGGAAACAGCCACGGTAAATCAGGGTTTGCGGTAAATCTGGGTTTTACTGTATTTGACCAACCATGACTTTAACTGCATGAGTCAAAAGATTGAAAGAAAAGCGGGCGACTAACTTTACTAATAACAGTGTCAATAATACTTTAATTAGGAAATTATTGCACAAAACAGTCTACTCATCCCAATTTTGGGTTTGATCATGTAAACTAACTAGCTAATCACACACTTTTGTGCTAAACGTTTAAATTGAAGAAGAAACCGTTACTATAATAAGCCTGGTTCTGAGTTAAACACGCTTCTCCGACTTAACAAGTTTATATCCGATTCTGCCGCGACAGAAAAATATAGTTATAAATATAATCTACGGACGCTGTTTTTGAGCAAGCTCCCTTTCAACAGTCCAATTCCAAAGTCCAAATAGCCCCCTCCCCAATCTATAGTATACAGTATGCACGTACTGCAGTTCGTCAAAACCTAAAGTTTTCGAAATAGAGTGCGTGATTTTCGGCGAACTTTGCAGTTGACGAGTGCGTGAATCGTGACTTGTAAAATAGTTCCTAATAACTAGGCATCTCTATGAGCCTATAAATCGCCTCATCTTAGCGAAAAGAAAGGTGTTTCGGTATTCCACGGTCGATACATTGAACAATGATCAGCCGAATAAACATTCTGTAGGCTCAATAAACATTCCTCAGGATTTCTGGATCAGGCGATAAAGCTAAACCGGAAAAACAGGATCAGAGGAAATTCAAATAGCAACCTGATAGTGATAGAGGTCTGCAGCTAATATTACAATTGAGGGCTTGTATATAAGTACATGGTAATGAAATATCACAAACGGAATTTTAATCAAATCATCCAATTCTGATCACGGACAATGACAAACAATCTTAACAGCATATTATCATAATTAACAATTCCTATTGAGCTCTATAAGTAATAACAAATCTATTGAGCTCTACAAGTACTGTTATTGTAAAACCTTATCGATGAAAATATATTTTCTCATATACTCCAGAATCCAGATGAATCCAAAATACCGCTAAAGCTCTAAAACCGCATACCACAATACACATTAATCTAACTAACCGCAACAAACAACCTGATGAGTACACCTCAGCTAGAGTCTAGGGTCTACAGTTAACAAAGGTAACACCAGGCATTATAACCATCTCGTCCCTTGTGAACCCTCTCTCTCTCTCAGCTCTCCCTCTCTCTTTACGTTTCCTACAGTGGTGCACTTGCAGGGAGAATAGCTAACAATGGACTTATCATGTAACATGGGATAGGAGCATTAATGTGTGCTCTTTGTGACTGAATATATTGTAGTATGTTAGTGTGAAAATATAGGCGCACCAAAGAGCTGCAATAAGTTCAATAGGTCCACGTAAACTAGAGTACTGAGTAACAGGAGTATAGAGAGTGTTGCCCCGGGCGGCTATGAGGTTACATATAATTAATGTTTACAAAAAATATAAAGCAGACTAGGCTCACACCAGGCAAATAAACACGTACTACCGGTACTATCGTGTAATAAATCATAAACGCGAACGACGCGACGCATATTCAAAGGTTTTACCGGGCTCACGCCTCACGAGCAACATTAAATTTGAGTTATATTATGACAAGTATTCTTTAATATAAACGGGATAATTACAGAGGAGAGAGTGCTAGAACAACAACAAAACAATTATATCCGATTAAGTTATATACAGAAACGTGAAGTTGTACTCTGTAAACGCTATACTGGCGGTTACCCGTTACTGTCATCGCACGCGTTCCTGCCAGTCATATTGCACGTTTCTGTCAATCATCACGCACGTTCCTGTCAGCACAATCTAGATATTAGAGAGGACTCTTCACGTGAGCTCCTGTCACCAGATGCTGGATTTTAGAAAGAATGTTTACAAGTTCTCAACACTTATTACGTAGAGACTAACTGGCTAAAGAGGGTCTATTTATATGAGAATTAAAGATTTCATGCGGTCGGATTTCCACGTACTTGGAACACTCTGTATATCAGATTGGATTATTCTTATATCATGTGATATTAAATAGTATGATTAAAGAATAAAGATGCAAAAGTTTTAAAATTGTGATTTGCGCAACTCGAACAACTTTCATTTATATTTGCCGCTTATATAATTAATGAAATACGAATTAATGTATCAACTCTAGATCTAGATCTTCAATTTTTAGGAAAAAATGAAGCTTGCGTTAAAATGTGAATTTTACTTCCTCAGTTTGACATATAGTTGCCATTTTCACAGTTCAAACGAAACTATGATCATAGATCTTTTGAGGGTCAAAAGTCATTTGTTTTATAATATAATAATATTCGGTAAAGATCAGTTACTCTCTAAAAATAAAAAGATGAATATTTTTCATTTGTAAAAAAAGGACTTGATTGTTGATAAATTTGTTCAAGACCATGATATAAAACCCTACAACGGTTTTGCAACATATCAAATGTAACGGTACCGGAAGCTATCCGTTATCGCGTCACTCATGCAGCTTCTATACTAATACTCTAATACTAATACTAGCTATTAGGTTTTCTACATTGATAATGTCTGTATCCATTAAATCATTAAATCCTGTTACATGGTGGCACTGGCAGTGTCGAATATTGAATATACCCGAACAAAGGATCAAAGGATAAAGTAACTCAATGAACTCAACAAATGACAATACATTTGAAGATTTGATACAACCACGAAATATCTAAAAACAAATTGAATAATGACTGATGGACACTTTAAAAGCTGTAAAAGCAGTGCCGTAAAAGCAGTGCCGGCCTCAACAACAGCTGGATCAGTTCTATTCTCACTTATTAACACCCGGACGAATCTACAATAGCAGAGCTGAGGTGTGAATAGTTTCACTACTGCGAGTAGTTGAATTAAGGGTTTCATTATGTGTTGAAGTATGCTATCGAGTTTCTTTAAACCATGGTGACTAATGTCGTTTATGTCAAGGTTCATAACTGGAATATTTTAGTTAGAGCCGCAGTGGCCGGAATGGTGCAGAGGAATTATTGAATTAACCGAATGGGAATAAGCACGAGAAGGGAAATGAATTGTGGAAGCCGTACCATTTCAATAACTACCACTACCTGTCTCTCTGTTCAACTTGTACGGATACGAAACATGCCAAGACTTTCTGACGGACCATAGGACACGTACCAATTTGGAACAGTTATAGTCAGTAAGTATCTATTAAAAGCAGTATAAGTATAAACACACATTGTTTTATAGTTTCTGTATTTATAAGTGTGCGTGCCGCGTGCTCCATACTCGCTGATGTTACATGATATATTCGCACATATAATTATAAACAAAGATATTTGCGTGTGATTAGCGTAATGTGTACCCTCCATAGTATTAGTAATAGTATATTTATATACTATGGATAGTATATACTATATAACCCCTTATTTATATATTATATAACTAAACCCTTAGTAATATATTTAACTAAGGGGGTGTTTTACCTCCTCGCACCATTTTATTAGAATAAACCCTTGTCTAAAACAGTTGAGAGAAGGAGAGAGGGAGTGAGGGATCAAAGAGTGGGGAGGGAGAACAACAAACGTATAAATATTAAATATAATGCGCAACTAATACGAATTTCTTGGTTTGTTTTTGTTATAATATGATCATAGTAATATGATCGTATAATATTATTATTATTTGTTTAATTTGTTAGTTGTGAAAATGGACCAATAAATTATAGTTACATTCAACTTTTTGAGTTCTAATTCTACTTGATCTCGAAATTACCTCCATAAGCCATAATGCATAAACGACAATCAATGATTCAAGTTCAACTTTCGAGGAAACATGGTGAATTATAAATTGATAAAATTCAAGACAAAATACATCCCTAAAAAATAAAAAACAACTAAACTCATGTTTCAAATTGATTCAAAATGTTTGGCTGGTTATATTCACAACCAAAAGGAAAATAATAAAATTTACGTTATCGGTTATCTTTTGAAAGTTCCAGTCACAAGATTTGATTAGGATTTGAAAAGAGATTGGCGGTGATCAAGCTCTGAGATACGAAAAGAAAACTACCAAGTATATAAACTTGATAAATATATATATATAACCCAATAATTTAGTTTAGCATTTAGTTAAGCATTATAACTCAGCTAGTTCATTTGCTCTATTCAGAGCCCTCTCGCTTGCAGTAGCGCGCGACCGCCGAAGGCGGCACAGGATTGTGAGACAAGCGCGTCACGCAGTACGCGTAGACTCATGGCTAGGTGAACTAGTTCATTATAACTCAGAGTTCATCTCGTCTCCCTGACAACGCCTCAGCCATTACCATACTCATGAACTTAACTCTTGTTTGATCAGTAGCGATGTTGTTGGATAGCTCCTCCATAACTTTCCTCCGCTCACTGTCAAACCTGAAAATAACTGACGTTACAATTTCTATTCAAAACCTAAAGATAAACGTTAGAATTGCTTTCAAATTGCTTTCAAACAGATAACTGACGTTACAATATTGCTGTTGAAAATTGAACAGTTTTAAGATGTGGGATGGTATTTATTTAAACGTTGTATCACTCCAACCTTTGTCAGCATGTCAATTTACAAGTGGAACCTCGTGTTGTTAGTGTTACCAGTTACAAGCTGTCATACTAGAAATGTTTTATACAGTTCGAAATTAAAGCACCGATCAGGCCATATATCCCATGTAAATATTGAATATTGATTTCAAGATCTGGCCCGATTTAAATAAATAAATTTAACTACTCACAATTTTTGGGCACGTTCGTAATAGTTAACAGTTTTTTTAACGGCTGAGGTAAGCTTTGTTGGTTTAAAGTCAAGCATAAACTCCGCTTTGCTGATATCTAGCTGTCCTCGTGCTGAAACGGTAACGTTTTTTAGAACTCTCATTCTCTAGCATACGTTGAATCAGTCTGGGGAAAGGTTAACACTTAACACCGCGGATAGTACGCAGGTTCCGCGACAAATCGGGGTTTTGAAATTGTCACATTAATAATATGTTAATTCCTAATTTGTGGGAAGGAAATAGATGCAGTAAATCAGGGTTTTACGATTACAACGATTATAGCGAATATATCGATTACAAATATTAAAAAGATTACAACGATTACATGAGCGATTACAACGATTATCAACGATTATCAACGATTATCAACGATAACGACGATTACAACGACAATTACAAAGATTACGACGATTACAACGATAATAATCTGTTTTCGCTCTTTTGAGCGCCTGAGCGGGTCGATCATATAATTGATGTTTTGGGACACTGAGAGTAACAATGGACGAGACGTAACAATTACTTCTTAATTTCTTACATAGTTTAATAACTGTAATAGATTTGTAGTCTTGTAATCAGTTTAAAACTACAACTATTTGTTTGAAAAACTGAGTGGAGGCTTTCACTTTGTCCCAAAACATCGATTACAAAGATTACATATAAAATGTAAATGTAGCGCTTATATTTACCTGATGATGGGTAAAGATGATAGGAGTTGTCGGTTGTGACTTCATGATTGAACTTTATAGGCTGAGAGTACAGATGATTATTGTAAATACCACCAGAAACTAGTACCAATTAATATAATAGCTAGGATACAAGGGGTCGAGCTCTGTTAGCTATAGGATACAACATATAGCAGATAGCTAGGATACAACATATAGCAGATAGCTAGTACAACAATAAGCGAAGTACTGATACAATCAGGCCGATACTTTTGTTTGAATTATTTCAACGCTCTCTAAAACTTCCCCCACATTCCTCACCCCTGGCCCAGGTCAATATCATTAAATATTTCGCATATAAATATACGACATATTTCGAGGGAAAACCTCTTTAGCAGGGGTCCCCTGCTAAACGCCCCATCAGCAATAAAAAGATAATAAGCTCGCTCCCCACTCCGAAAAACAATTGGAGACCGAGAAGTTTACACCTTACCGAGTCAGTCGATAAGTCAGCTAGGTATAGTTATAACTGATAATACTCTCTCACTCTATCAGGCCGCGCAAACACCCTCACTACGTTCGGGCGTTATCATACGCGGCCCTCATGAGAGCGCGAGAGTATTATTGTGTTATATTTATTATAGTAAGAGTTATAGTTATAGTTATAGTAAGAGTTATAGTTATAGTAAGAGTTTTAGTTATAGTTATAGTAAGAGTTTATATAAGAGTTAATATAAGAGTCAGTACTTATACTACTTTACTAACTTACCGATTCTAGCACGTGGGATATCTCCAGAAGCAATGTTGTCAAGGTAACTGGCTCCTTGAACGCTATGTTGAAAGTTTCATTTCGTACCTCTGATTCTATTCCTTTTTTAAACGCCTGAACAACATCGTCCAGATAGACATAACTTGATACCAGCTCTCTGAAAAAGTGAAATAAATTTATAGTCGTCAGATGAAAAACCGGATAGTTTTATTTTGAGGTATGAATCCCGCGACCCTTCCCACTAATTCTCACTCAGGAACCCGAACGAATATATTATAGTTGGATGTATCTCGTTCGCGAAAACTAAAAGAACGGCTGATTCCTCGAAGCCATGGCTCAAAAAAGTCCCAATTCTGCACATTGAACAGCAATTATGCATATTCAACAGCATTAAATGCACGTGCACGTGTAACTTACTTGATCTCATAAGGCATGTGGATTGGAGTGTTGAGGGTTTCGTAATACTTCACCCACATATGGTATATCCAAAACTTTGACGAAGTGTCCCTCGCTCCTGCAAGTGAACGGAGTTTAGATATCTAACAAAAGGAACAACCTAGTTTGATCCTTTTGAACTATGCACCTGAAAATTGAATCTAGGTAAACTATAGGTAAAAATATAATATTAATCATAAGCTAAAATGAACTAATCTTTGTATTCTAAATGGGGAAAAAGAAGAAACATTGTCAGTCAGTCGAGAAAATTGTCAGTCAGGCTATATGGCAGCTTTGTAGATGTTGTGACTATGCTAGTAGTGGTCCCAGGCTTGCGACTGGAATTGCGGTGTTAAATCGATTTAATGGTATACCAACGATCCCCCTCCCACTTGTTGTTTGGTACTTAGCATTAATAGTGTTAGCTGTAGCCATTTATAGCAAGAATCTTAAAACTAAAGGGGATGACAAGGAAAAGAGGAAGGAAAAAGAATAACGGAACAAACAATTAATTAAAGTATTTACAGGAGCATTAGTTATTGTAATTACAAGCTTCAATAATAAATCACTGTATTCTAAATGGGGAAAAGAAGAAACATTGTCAGTCAGTCGAGAAAATTGTCAGTCAGGCTATATGGCAGCTTTGTAGATGTTGTGACAATGCTAGTAGTGGTCCCAGGCTTGCGACTGGAATTGCGGTGTTAAATCGATTTAATGGTATACCAACGATCCACCTCCCACTTGTTGTTTGGTACTTAGCATTAATAGTGTTAGCTGTAGCCATTTATAGCAAGAATCTTAAAACTAAAGGGGATGACAAGGAAAAGAGGAAGGAAAAAGAATAACGGAACAAACAATTAATTAAAGTATTTACAGGAGCATTAGTTATTGTAATTACAAGCTTCAATAATAAATCACTGTATTCTAAATGGGGAAAAGAAGAAACATTGTCAGTCAGTCGAGAAAATTGTCAGTCAGGCTATATGGCAGCTTTGTAGATGTTGTGACTATGCTAGTAGTGGTCCCAGGCTTGCGACTGGAATTGCGGTGTTAAATCGATTTAATGGTATACCAACGATCCCCCTCCCACTTGTTGTTTGGTACTTAGCATTAATAGTGTTAGCTGTAGCCATTTATAGCAAGAATCTTAAAACTAAAGGGGATGACAAGGACAAGAGGAAGGAAAAAGAATAACGGAACAAACAATTAATTAAAGTATTTATAGGAGCATTAGATATTGTAATTACAAGCTTCAATAATAAATCACTGACTAAAACTTCTAATTAAAATGACACTTGGTACGCTCGCCCATTTTCACTGGTCAGTCTGAACTTCGGTTTAGCACGTTGTACACTTATTCACCTAAGTTTCAGAATTTGTTAAGTTTAGCAGAGTTAGTACCCGTGTTTCAATAAATCAAAAGATATCAGGGGAGTTCTTTAATAATGTTATGGTCATCTAGAATACCGAACTTCCTGAAAACGTTATCATATTTCCTCAGACAACGTTTAATGCCTTTAATCAGTCTATTACGGCTATATCCTCTATCAATTAGAATTTTGAATATTTTGTGAAGATGGGAGGTAAAGATATCCAATCTAGTGCAAACATTACCATATCTAAGAACTTGACTTGAAAAAACGTTGTAGCCAACCTCGGTTGGGATGTTACTGTGAGGAAATGTAAGGGATACAACATGAAAATTAAAATCACACATGTCTTTCATAAAAATACAGTATTACATTTTCTATTATTACCATGGCTATATTCATGTTTATAGACATATTTCCTATTACATAATTTATTGTAAATATAATATATGTTTCAGAATTATGTAATGTAACGCGATGGAAGTATTTTAAGCGGGCATATCCTGTCCAAACCCAGGATGCACGACATAAAGAATTTGTTTTAACTTGTTTGTATGAAAAACATCAATAGATATAATTTAATTTATCATAAATTATCCAGGCTTTTAATTAAAAGGAGAAACTTTCAAGAAGGGATGAAATAAAAACGGCTTTGGTAAATATACTAGTTCTTGTCCATTAAGGTAACTCAGGTTCTCAAGACGAAGACACTGAACACAATAGATATTTTCAAAAATTCGTTATAATAATAATACCTACAGGGTGCAAATCGAACAGAATATTGGGATTTTAATAAATAATCTAATAAAAGTTACCGATAACATCAGGGGCTCTAAAGATGAGATAGTTTAGTCCGCTGGAGGCGAGATATTCCTCCGCAAGCAGTTTGTAGTGACCGAACCTGTCCACATCAGCGTACGTCTCGTACTCCTCCTAGTCCATGTTAGTTTATATATCACACAATTTTAGCTACCTTATCGGATGTTATTTGAACGGACATTAATTGGACGCTAGAGCCATTAATTCTTTAATTGTCCGTTCAAATATTGGTGGACGTTCTAAGTAGATGGCTCATTGAGCGTTAATTCTAATGTTCGTTTAAAATTATGTCTGGTCACGCAATGTCCGCTCGGATAACGTCTGCATTAAATCCGACTTTATAAACAACTTAGTCACCGTTACATGACTGCACGATTTATTCATTACAATAAGATATTAATAAAGTAATAAGTAAATGGCAATAGATGAGTTAACTGTAACTATAAATGAGCTACCCTTGAAGGTACCATCCGTATTTATACTCAGAATTAAGTTGGGTCATTTTCCAATACGAGATTGGAAACAGGTTCTATAAAAAACCAAAAAAACATTAATTAGCTAATTAATTCTCGTACCTTGTCAACAGGTCTTTCTGTGTCTGTTTCTTTAGTCGGACCGTGATGTCTTTTTATGCTTACATCGTACACATTATCTGGACTTATAAACAGGTATACCCCTGTCGAAAAAGAAAACGTTAGGGAATAACGTCATCTGAAAATCTGCGTTCACCGTTTATAGTTTTAAAAGAAATATTGCTAAACAAATGTCAGCGACAAAAATGAAAAAAAAACGAAAATGGTTAACACGCTGATCTTACCTACGTTTATAGTTTTGAAAAGGTCGGCGGATTCCTTCATGTATCTAGTAGTGAAGGCGTTGAGATCTACAACCACGTCTACCTGTGTTATTAAGGTTGGTTTTTTTACTTTTTAAAGAGAATCTTGTGTTATTTGGGAGATCATAGACTGTTTTAAATGTCAATATAATAATGATCACGATTATAAAACATGTATTTTCCCATGGTTGTGCTTTTTGAAAAAATGGTTGTGCTTTTTGAAAAAATTTTGTCTATTTTTTTATTAAATACTTTTCAAATTATATATAGAAATTCGGCATATTAATATTAGTCAATGTCAGTTTGATAACATGTTAATTATTGTAAATACTAGTTAACTCACGTGTGCATTAGCAGCAAGGTATTCCATGAAAGCAGGACACTGCTTCTTAAGTCCCTTGAACCTATCGCACTCAAGCACAGTAACTTTAGGGGATTTAGTATTCCTGGAGTTGTAGTAGTCGCTCCCCCGGTTTAGTGTTGTTATCTGGTAGTTCTGCTTTAGTAGCATCTGAAGGTGGTTAATTTTTTAGATAAATATATAGCTACTTGCCACTTAGGTCCAGGATCATTATAATGCCTGACTAGTGACTACTAGGCATGGTGCTTGGTTGTGGGAGGTTAATAAGGGTGGTTAATTAATGGTATGATGAGAGACGATGGAGGTACTGGAAGCTAGATTTTTTCCATCGCCTAAAAAGGCAATAGATGGTTAGAAGTGGTAGGATTTGAGAATGGGTATAGTGGGTATAGGTTTTTCGTCGTGTCACAAAGCAAAACATGCATTAACCTCCGCAAACACGTGCTCCTTTACAAATTATCTTTTGATGGTCGCGCGCGCATTTTACAATGCTTTTATGTCAAGGTGTACTCTATACCAAGAATCGAGCTAATAAATCGTGTACGGCGCGCATGTATATCTCTTTTCGCTATTATACATTTTGATTCGCATTGATATTTGTCGTTTAAGCTTTCGTTAACTTCATGCGATACAAACTTCTCATTTTGTTGTGGGTGCTTGGTGCAACCCGATATTAGTAATCCGTTATGTTGTTGTATAAATTATGATGTTATGACTATCATGTTGAACATGATTGCCCATAGATTGATTCATTATATTTAGACGAAATGAACGATACATTTTATTATGATTCACATTGTATTAACTACCACAGATTTGATTGGGTGACATCTGTCCGACAGTCGAATTACCGGTTTCGGACAAGAGTCGCTGTCAGATAGGAGTCGTTTTTGGCGACATCTGTCCAACTTTCGGATCACATTTGCAATTTCAGATCACGTTCGTATTTCACAAGCTCACGTGTAATCTTGTGACGTTGCTCCCACAGTCCTAATATAATGCTGATTTGATCCATTGAGATCTGATCCATCGATACGTGATTGACTATTTGAGGACAGGATCATGCTAGCCGTACACTAACAAGCTGTAACAAGCTGCCAATCACATCACAGCCTACATTACACACAGGAGAGCGGTATGGAGATCAGTTATTTATATAACATTTAAACTATTGTCCAATTTTTGACATCAAATGAAAATAAACTATGGTAGAGTTCAGCTCAGGTCATATCTCAGTTCAGATCATGTCTCTAATTGGAAAATGGAAATGTGTCGTATCGCAATTAGATCACAATTTCGGACAGATGTCTTTTTTTTCTGGTAACATATTAAGTCGGACAAGAGTCGCTGTCGGACAGATGTCCTTTTAACTGCATCATGCATATCACCGCACAGGCTGCGCTACGGTGTCCGGTCGTTTAACTTTCGATTCAAATAATTGACAACGGCAATCCCTCCATTTTGTTCTCTGTAACGCCCCAAAGAAATTTGGTAATTTAACCAATATGAAACGATTGTTAATTGTAATTAATTACGGGCGATGGAAATCTAGCGTCCGCTAACCGGCGCAATTCTTGTTCATGGAGAAAGCGTCGATACATTGAAAATGAAAAGAATGGGAAAAGATTTAGTTTTAATATGTTTGATATCTATGATGGCCAAAATCAGTGATTATCCATTAATCCCCTTGTATATTCCATATGAAGACTTTAATTAATTTACGTGTCTTGACAAATAGATTTTTGCCGAACATCGTGCTTAATTAATCATAGATCAGTGCAGAAAAGCCGGACGAACGACCTGCATAAATTGAATTTCAGAAAACTCGGAAAATAATTCGAGGTTTCCAAACCTGCAGTTACAACTTACATTCCCATATAAGGTGGGGTAATGTATACTGTTGCTATGGTTACATTACCATATAAGGTGGGGTAATGTATACTGTTGCTATGGTTATGCATTACCATATAAGGTGGGGTAATGTATACTGTCGCTATGGTTACATTACCATATTATAAGGTCGGATTATATATACTGTTGCTATGGTTACATTACCATATAAGGTCGGGTAATGTATACTGAATTGCTATAGTTACATTACCATATAAGGTCAGGTAATGTATACTGTTGCTATGGAGCTTTGGTTACCTGTACAACTGCTGCACCGATCTGACCGTTTCCTCCGAAAATGAAGGCTTCCTTAGGTTTCACGTACACCTCGTCTGAGTGAGCTGCTACCACCAGGAGGCTGACCAGGGCCAGTAGAGTGGAACCCATCCTGATTACAGGGTGTTTTTATCATTTAATTGGGTGTTTTAATCACTTAATTGAGTGTCTTTATCTCTTAATGAGGTGTTCAAATTGTAATCTTTCTGAGGGATAATAAAGCACTTGGCTGTGCTCCATAATTTATAATTTAATAATGGGTGTTTCTTGTTGTTACTGCTACAGATTGTACAGGAACCTGACACCTTTACCATTTGAAGTACCAATCTGCATCTATCAATTTACATTTTACGGGAGATAATACCATCAGTGGTAACATATTTACTAAAGTTGGACTTTGGAGCAAGTTGTACATGTAAAACTACGAGATTCGGCACGTTTGTATGATATATGATGGAAACCCATTAGTAAACACCATGCAAACTCTACCGCAAGACTGTCAAACAAACCTCATAATTATCTACACAGCATGACAAACACTAAATTGCTGACGAAATCACAAACCGCACAGTAATAGCGGGTGGAGCGTGGAGTACTGATCCTTGCCACGTCACCAGGTAAGCTGCATAACCCTGCAAAGTGACGCCTCTTCCACACGGCTCACTTTCCGTCCCGAGCTGCTCTGTGAACGCCTCTTCCACTTAGCATGAGCTGGAAATGTTGATGTGTCGAGTTCGGATGGGGGGAGGGGAACGTCTTTAAAAGTTTAAAGTTCGGGTATATTATTCAACCTTGAACGTATAAGAATCTCAAAATCATACTCAATCTCGACCCCTTAAAATTTCCAGTTCTTACCCTTATAGATTATAACACTGTATTATTACAATGCGTAACTTAGTAACTTAGCGCATGTCATAGCATTAGCAATTCTAAACAAATAAGTGAGTAGGGGCTCGCCCGCTAATGAAGTTTCAGCGGCTGTTTCCCACAGAAGTTTTGTCATTTGCCACTAAAAACCAACAGTCCGGTACGTAAACCGTACAAACTATTCTCTTCCTACTGAAGATTACCTGGGAAGTTAAACCGATTAAACTGAACCTATAATCAATAACAGTTGACAGCTAAGATAACAATTAGGAAACCGATTATACTACTACCGCAAGGGCGCTGGAGTGGGCTATTGACGGCTGCAGTGGGGCTCTAAGGTCAATTCTAGACGAGGGTGGTACGGTAGGAGTCTCACCTACAACCCTCACACTAAAGCACTAAGGCATCTAATTGTTTGGTGGCTTGATCTAGGAGCCCCAAATTCCGGATTTGTTGTTTTTTATCGTGTGTGTAACTTTAATGATCGTATAAGAAATACTGATCCGATTTCATTTGTCACACTCTAGTTTGGTATTTCTAGTTTGGTATTTCTTGTTGTAATTGTTGTCTTCGGTATAACCCTACTTTCGGTTGTTGTGACATTGAAACGTCTACCAGGTCCTTTTCCTGAAAAAGATCATTTTTCCTTGTCGCAATAAACGGAATCACTAAATATGCGACTAATAAACAATTATGTTCTGATCCGGATATTACATATAAACCTACTTTTGGTAGTTGTTTATACTTTTATTGTGTAGCTGTGTTGACAAAAAATAAAATGGCCTTTACAACGAAGTGACCCAATATATCAGTGACCCAAATCCACGTTCAATTACTGAAACCCGAGGCTATCATAAACTAATTACAACACTACAAATCTATTACATTTATTAAGAATTATGTAATGTAACGTGATGGAAATATTTTGAACGGGCATATCCTGTCCAAACCCAGGATGCACTACATGAAGAATTCGTTGTAACTTTGTTTGAAAAGCACTAATAGTTAATCTCTCGCTACTTGTTTATAAGATTAAAGTTTGAAACAAATTGCGTTATACTCTGGAGTTGTTAAACTCAAATTAGGGATCTCCATACCTAGATTAGATCTCATTAAGGATACAATTTCACTTAACTTCATGATACTGTAATCTGTACCCCAAGAACTCCTCTGATAAGTTTGTGGTGTTTTTGTTTAGTTTTCTTTTCTTTCTCTCACGGGCTTAAGAACTTACATCTGACAGGCGAAATTTAAGTTTCAGCTCAGTACCTTTTATTTGTAATTATACCTTATCGGACCTCATTTGGGCGAATCAAGACTGACTACTTTACAAACTCATGTGTTAAATTGTGAATATTTCTAATTTATTTACTTGAACCAGTAGTGTATATACTAGTGTATATACTAGTGTATATACTAGTTTTTATACTAGTGAACCACTAATGTATATAAATGGTTGTGTATACAATACAGGTTAAAACAATCCTTAACTAAGTATATACTAGTGTTTATACTAGTAAACCACTAGTTGATGACGATGAGAAGGGTTGTGTTACTGTCACTTCTACTTCTCCTCACACCAGTTAACAGTCAGGCTGATGACAATACAGGTTAACTTGAAACAATCCTTAACTAACTTACTCAGTTATTTTCCATATTGTTTCATTAGCCATCAGGTTTTGCAGCGAAATAAACGTTGGTAAACGTTGAAATGTTACATTATAGCTAACGGTTCCGAGTACTGATAATTATGTTAGGATATTAGAGTAACGTCTCCATGCCCAGCCCCATTCTGTAGTATGTATACTACGAACACTGTTATTTACATTAATGATGGAATGTTTATTTTATCTAATCCCTATTAATATGACCCTCTATTCTCTAATAACCTCGTACCATTTATTGACGGTGTTCTAAAGCTCATAAACTGTTTCAATCACCCATATCTTACGAAGTTCAATTTCGGATCAACACTAAAAGTGTTTACTTTAGAATGTTAACACTGTTAACATTTCAACCACATTTTTATTCTTCAAAAATTCAAGCATGTTATGACCTGTTGGCAGTTTTTAGCTACTATAAGCATAAAATTTACCTTATTAGCTAGCCGTTCATCTTACTTATAGCTAACCGCTAAGTTTATTTACCTAACCGCTCAGTTTACTTACCTAACCGCTAAGTTTACTTACCTAACCGCTCAGTTTACTTACCTAACCGCTCAGTTTACTTACCTAACCGCTCAGTTTACTTACCTAACCGCTCAGTTTACTTACCTAACCGCTCAGTTTACAGTTTAGCAATACTAGGTAGTGTGCCATCGACAGTGAGCCACGCGTGCCGACTGTAGGATGGTTTTTAGCAATACACTCTTTTGAATGATACAAATCCGCAGGTAACGACGAGGCATCTGCTACTGAAGACAAGACATCCGCTACTGAAGAAGGAGATGAGCTAGAGCTAGTTTGTGATGTAACTCCTGAGGGGTTCGAAGACATCGGTGTGTTGTTTTGTTAAAGATTTAAAGATGCGATTACTGTCAATGCTCCGATATCCAGCTTGTAACAGTTTTTATCATTGGTAAAACTTCAAATAAACTTGTCAAAAACCTAATATCGTGTAATTTCGAGTTAACCAGCTAACCTTCAATTAACTCAGATCCAACAACACAGAACAAGGTAGACGAGTGGATCCAGAAACTGTCGGGTAGTAGACTTGGGGGACTGATCAGGAGGGTCATTGCAAGAGCTATTAAGAGAGGTAAGTTGGAGAGGGGAGTTGAGAGATGAGGAGAGGGGGAGGAGAGGGGGAGAGGAGGTGAGGGGAGGTGAGAGGAGAGGGGGAGGATAGGGGTAGGGGAGGAGAGGTGAGAGAGGAGGTGAGAGAGGAGGAGAGGGGGGAGGAGAGGGGTAGGGGAGGGGAGGTGAGAGAGGAGGAGAGGGGGAGGAGAGGGGGAGGGGAGGAGAGGGGAGGTGGGTGGGGAGGGGGAGGAGAGGGGAGGTGAGAGGAGAGGGGAGGGGGGAGAATTGGAGGTAAGGGGAGGGGAGGTAAGTTGAAAGGGCGAGGAGGAAGGGAGGGGTAGGGGAGGTGAGTGGATGGGAGGGGTGTGGGTGAGGAGGGGAGGAGTTATTTTAGTCTTATTGTCTTAGGACGGTTTTGATAAAGCTTGATAGGACATGGTACTAATATGGCATGTTCTCCACAATTTTATCAAATAAAGAGAATCATTTCAAATTGTTTGCTAAAATATTCCTTAAAAAAGTCAAAATAAAACCCCCACAGAGGATTCAGTGATCCGGCGGATGTTAGGTCGTCTAGCACAAGACCCCAACGATGAGAACTTTGAGGAGGGGGAGCTGGGTATAACGCAACCTGTGTACAGTCCGGTTCTCAGTCTCATGACTAAGATATACGGGGAAACAAAGACTGTTGTGGTGAGTGTTACGTTTCCCAGGGGGCTAGGACAAGTGGTGGGGGATGTAATCAGTGAAGATTACTTAACATTGTGTTAACATGTGAGCATCATGTTAACATTGTGTTATCATGTTAACATTGTGTTGAAATTATGTTAAAATTGTGGTAACATGTTAGCACCATGTTAACATTGTGTTAGCATGTTATCATCGTGTTAACATTGTGTTAACATGTTAGCATTGTGTTAACATTGTGTTAACATTGTGTTAACATTGTGTTAACATTGTGTTAACATTGTGTTAACATTGTGTTAACATTGTGTTAACATTGTGATAACATGTTGACATCATGTTAACAGTGTGTGAACATTTCAGCATCATGTTAACATTGAGTTAGCATGTTAACATTGTGTTAACATTGTGTTAACATTGTGGTGACATTGTGTTAACATTGTGGTAACATGTTAACATTGTGGTAACATGTTAACATTGTGTTAGCATGTCAACATTGCGTTAACATTGTGGTAATATGTTAACATTGCGTTAACATTGTGGTAACATGTTAACATCATGTTAACAGTGTGTAAACATGTCAGCATCGTGTTAACAGTGTGTAAACATGTCAGCATCATGTTAACAGTGTGTAAACATGTCAGCATCATGTTAACATTGTGTTAACATGTGAGCATCATGTTAACATTGTGTTAAAATGTTAGCATCATGTTAACATGCTAACTCAACCTATTCTTATTTTAACTCAGCAAGACAACAATTATTGAGGTTATGGCTTCGTTAACTAGTTACATAGCCTCAATAAATGTAATTGATTATTCGTTATTTTGGAATGAGTTTTAAATTTGCATTATTTGGCAGGGTTATCTGAGGGCGTTTGGATTTTTCGGTAAAGTCCTTGGTATGTCACCAAACAAACTAGAAAACTATAAAGGATCGGTAAGTTAAATGACGTACTAATTCATCATGTTACCAAATTATTACATAATATATCGTTGTTAATATATTTGACCAAAACCCATAATCATGGGTAGAGTGTACCTCTGCCAGTGTCTCTCTTTTCCAAACAAAAGGAAATGATATTAATTTGAGGAACAGTCCGCTAATGCAAATTGATACCGAGAATGAAATCGGTCGCTCGCTTTTTCAAATCAATAAGCTTTATTACAATTCGTGAGCCGTGATCGAATGGAAAAAGCGAGCAACCGATTTCATTCTCGGTATCAATTTGCATTAGCGGACTGTTCCTCAAATTAATATCATTTCCTTTTGTTTGGAAAAGAGAGACACTGGCAGCGGTACACTCTACCCATGATTATGGGTTTTGGTCAAATATCATCTCTTTTTGATTATCATGTCAGGATAATTTACACAGCTAGTCGAAACTTCATTCTTTCATTAACAAGGAGGTAATTTCGACGATTTCGAAATTCTGCCTTTGAAAACGTTTCCTTGTGTTTAGTTAGGTATATCTGTCGATAACCGACTGAATATGGCACTTTTTACTCATTCAAGTTGGCATTAAATTCATATATAATGCCATTTAAATATCGTGGAAAGCAGAATATATTCGAAATCACGAATGAGCAAAATTCTCACCTTTCGCACGTGCAAACTTTGAGCGGACGTTGCGTGCGCATACAATATTGAATCACCGTAAATTTTTGCATAGTGGTATTTAATATATAGTTTGATAAGCATGCAAAGTTTCAGAAGATTTCAAAAAGAACTTGGATCACAACGGGACTCCAAAGTTGATAAAAATCGTGAAAATCAAAATTTGTAGTGATTTTAGCTATTTTAAATCAATTTGGGCGTGTCCCCACGTGTGCAACTTTTCGATTTTTAACTTTAAAACTAGCCTATAACACAATTTACACCTTTAAGAAGCAAAATTGAGCTCCACAACCCAAGGGATAGCCCAACACCAGAGAATACTAATTCACAACTTTTGTGTTTTTATAAAATTATTCTTCAAAAAAGCACTAACTTCAATAGCAAATATCTTTATGAAGGAGTAAGGTAGGAAACTTTTCCGGTAGATTTTTTGAATGCTTGAACAATTATCTAAGGTAAAAATGTCCTCAGATTTTGAATAAAATTACTCTTTAATGGTGTAAAATCGATTTGAAAAGTTGTTGTTTTGTCAAAAATCAAGTTTTAAAAACACTTAAATTGATGACGTCATCAAGTGATGATGATGATGATAAATTATTTTTCAATATAAAGTAAAGTAAAGTATAAACGATTATCTTTAAAACCTGTGGTTCGAAATGACTGTATCTTTTATACTTTTGAATCTACGGACACCTAAATGTAGGCTACAATTGACTGCAAAAAGCGTCTATACATATTATTATATATCTTCACGACAATCTGTTGTAAAACAGGGGTTCCAGAAAACCCACTTCCCGATACTCCTGAAACATGAAATTTGTTTACTGTCGACTTAGGCAAGGTCTAGACGCCCTGCAAAGTTTCAGATCTCTAACTCAATTTTAACATGGTTTTTAAGGCACCTGAATATGGCGATTTTGGGTTTTTTACCTAATTTCGTATAACATGCTGGCGCGTATTTTGCGCAAATTTCTTAAAAACCTCCATATAACTATTTCTTATTCCTGTCATCTTTAACATTGAATTAGAATGTTTTGAACTTAAATGTACCTGCTGAACTACTTTCGAAAAAGTCTTGATGCCTGGAAAACAATAAAGGGGATATAATAGTATAGGGGGTAAATAGTATTGTGAATATAAGGGCGACGGTAATGCTTGCCAGCATTGTGATTATAAAGTTGGAAAGTAATTTTAGAGCCTACGAAATATTTTCCACCTATATTTTGTCGCGCTGAACATGGTGCACCTTTTGAATGTCCTCGATTTGCTTGAATCTCAAAAATGGCGAGCTGGAGGCCAGTCATACGTATCTGCAGAGCTTCTTCAGCGAGTGAGTTATGTCCAATAACCAATTAAAGGTTAAAACTGGATCTGCAGGAGTCATTTTAGGGCCTACGAAATATTTTCCACCGGTATTTTGTCGCGCTGAACATCGTGCACCTTTTGAACGTCCTCGATTTACCTGAGTTTTACAGGTTCTAATCCGACCTACTTGAGTTATGTATAATTGAAGCTTTATTAGTTACTGTTCATTGAAGTATATAATGGTATAGTACATTAGCTCTGAACTTACTGACTCATCTTTATAAGTTTATAAATAAATTAAAATGTAACTTAACACTGAACAGTAAACACTTTCCTCCCCCAGATACCTCCATGTGCTATAACAGAAGCAGTGAAAGCGTTCCAATTATTCAACAACCTGGAACCTTCTGGAACCCTGACTAAAGAAACCAGGGATCTGATGAAGAAGGAGAGGTGTGGTAATCCTGATGTGGGATGTGGTCAGTTTTTATCTCCAATTTATTATTATATATAATTTTTCGTTTTGTGGGTGTGACTGTGATGAATCTTATCAAATCGAGGTAATGGATATTCTACAGGTAACCAACTTTAATTTTTCCTCAGAAACTCCTGACTGTATCGCTGATAAAGAGGCAGAGGAAGCTTCGGAATATCTTAACAGAAGAAGAAGATCACTAAACAGGCAGAAGAGATGGGAGGTCGTGAGCGGTAGAACATGGAAAAGCGGGGATTTCAAGTGAGTCCGGAAGATTAAAGTTTTTTTGTATTGATTGACGTTGTCAACCCTTCCGAGCGTTGCTCTGCTAAGGATCTTCGATGCGAAGCAAGAATGCTAGTCGAAGCGGCGAAGTCCTCCAATTTTTGTAAAGTTCACTATATGTGTGATGATAGTTGCTTTACCTCTTTACGTTTGAGGTGTTCACATCTGCATATCATTGTTGATTCTTTGACTGTAGTGATTGCACAGAAATGTGACATCTTGGTTATGCTGATTATTTACTATTGCAGGTACTTTTACCAAGGATACACTGATGATATGACTCAAGAAGTCCAAAGAGCAGAAATAGAGAGGTCTCTCAAGGAATGGGCAGATGTTGCAAACGTTAACTTTTACGAGGTACATTATAAAACAATATTTCTCCCATTCTTTTAAAGTTTTAAACCTTCTTCCCAAAAATACAACATAAGTTTGTATGTTATATATTTTTGTATTATTTGATAAAAGTTTCAAATCAAACCAAGTATTATAATAAGAAACTAAGTATTAACTCTCAGACAGACACTGAAGAAGAATCAGATATCAGGATTGACTTTGGAGGTGGGGACCATGGTGACAAGTATCCCTTCTCGGGGCCTGGTGGTGTCTTAGCTCATGGGTTCTACCCCAGGAAAGGAGATGTGAGTTTTATGTTTATTTAATTGTGATTGCTTGTGCCAACGGGGGGATGCTTAAATTTGCTGGGTTGATTATTAAGATATAACTGTGAGCAAAGGAAAACGAAGATATGAATGCAAGATAAAATGTAAATAAAAATGGGCATCACGTTCAGAATTTAGCACATGTGTTCTTGCCTGCAGACTCCGTCCTCAGGTTTCAGTACATTCCAGGTTTCAACAAGTACATTTCAGGTTTCATTACTTTCCAGTGTCCTTATATTCTAAAAGTGGCGAATTTATTCATTATAGTGCAGCAAATGCCACAATTACGCCATAAGGTTGTTTGTCTGTAAGTGTAATGATCGATTTAAACAGTAACGCCAATAGTAGGAATATTTACTCGTGTGTGGCGTAACCTCGGCGACAGATTTTTAATTGTATAAACAACTGATCTTAATTAATTGAGGTTGTACCTATATTTTCCCTGGACGTTGGGATAATAATTTTCATGTGATGAACAAAGTAAAACGAAGGACGTAAATGCAAAGTAAGATTCTAATGAAACATAAGAACCAAGTCAAGAGTGTGAGTCTAACACATGTGTTCGTGCCTGCAGACTCCGTCATCGCACCTGATGGTACCGGGAAGACAATCCCCATCGTTACCACCGCAATTTCCACAGGTCTTCTGGCAGTAGTCCTCCACAATCCAATCCGTATCACACCAGCTCTCGTAGCAAGGTGAGTAGGAGTCCACACAGTCAGGATCTGGTGCAGGACCACTATCATCTTCATCATCAGCGTGGTAGTTAGTTGCTTCATCATTACCTCCGTTATCAGAGGCACCAGTAGAGGCAAGTACAGGGTAGCTGCTGTAATCCCACAGGTTACAGTTGTGGTGGTTCCTGGCGAACTTAACGTATCCGCTGTCTCCCCATGTATTTCCCCAGGAGTTCTTTACCAGTACGTAATCCTCGGTGTACCCCACAGCGGTGACGGCATGGTTGGGCCTGCCTGTGCACGTTGTGTCTTTTAGGATACCTTTGGAGTATTGCTGAAACTTGTCGGTCACTTCAAAGGCCACAGAGAGAGATCCTGAAGCTAGAGCTTCAATGTTGGCTTTTTCAGTGCTCCCTACCTTCCTTACTCCTCTGATTTTAGCAGCTATCATAGCGTCTGGTTTTCTGGAACCTTGGCAGGAACCATCTCTCTGTGTGTAAGCGTAATCAGCACTGCTAGCTAGTCTTCCTCCGTTATTTGCTGAGTACTTATAGCAGTCATCAGGCCATCCACCGTTGCAGCCGTCTCTAGATCCCTCGTACACACAGTCCAAGTACTCTTGCTCAGCAAACTTTCTCAGCACACCTGACATCTCTGCGTATCTCGTCTCCAGTCCACCAACAGCTCCCCAAGTCCAGCAAGATCCGCAGCGTCCCTGGTTTTCAACTGCTGTGACCTTTCCTTCATTTGTCCAGAGTTTGCTTGCAGGTGCAGCATCTTCTCCACTGCTCCTCAAGGCAGGTTTAGCGTTTTTGTTGTGTCCTGTTACATTGAGACCTCTGTATGAGATCTGCTCCGATTCAGTCATTGTAGAGAAGAAGTTCAAAGCAAATTCGGCAGTTTCTTCGTCCACAGAGTTTTCATCTGCTACCATCTCAGCGTTCTTCCGGAACAGTCGGAACCTCAGTCTATCCTCAACTCGGTCGAATGCGAGGTGCTGCTCTGCCTTGAAATTGTCATAGAGCTTCAGGGTTTCTTTAGGGGATCGCAGGACAGCTTTCAGGTAGGATTCTTTTGCCAAAGAGGCACCAAACAGGGCAAGAATTAGAACGAGCATCATTTCCACTAGGTATAGTTGTCTAGAAGGCTGGATTCAGATTGTGATGTTGAGTTGAAGAAGGGGCTGATTTATAAAGCGTGTTGGGCTATCCAGGTGGCAGGTTGTTACAACTTGCACCTCAACACTTTTCCTTTGTTCCAGCTCAACATAATAGCCATATTAAGCACTTAGCACACCATCATAACAAATCTTCTCCACTTGTTTTTGTTACCTCTGCCATGTCAGAAAACTATTTTGTTGTTGACTGAGAAGTTTGTTCTCTGATAGTTTCACACGTGAGTAATGAGTATATAACAGCTTAATAATTTTTGGAATTCTGTAAACTTTTTCTGTCTAAGCTGTTCTCGACTCAGTATTTTCTTTTGTTTAAACTTCAAAGTGCTGGTTACTCTACCACAGCCAACAATGTCACTCCACATGTTTGATTCACTCTGAAAACTTGCTAACTACATTCACGCGTCTGAATTTAACAAAGTTACAATGAAAAACTTAGTAAACTTCTGACCTTAACTCCACAACAGTCAGACATGTTTCAAGGATTACAGTTCTCACTTTTTTACTTATCATTAAGGATTCCTTACTTCAACAGTGCCAATACCGAAGGCATCAGGTTTGAAAAACCTGAGGTTTATACGTACCTAAACTAAAACTAAAAATTAAAAACTAAAACTAAAAACTAAAACTAAAAATCAGAAAATGACGCCAAATCCTCTCTTTTTCAGATGCATTTTGATGACGACGAGTTTTTCACTGCTAACCAGTTTTCTGGAACCAATCTCTACTACGTAGCTACCCACGAATTCGGCCACGTGCTCGGTATCAGACACACGAACGTTAAGGGAGCTGTTATGTACCCTTACTATCCAGGTGAATGTACTACTAAATCTAACCCCTAGATCACAATGCTGGCAAGAACGATCGTCAGCCTTTATACCCCGTAGAAATTGATCTACAATAAAAATGCGAGTAAATGTCCCCTCGTTGTAGTATTTAGTTTAAATACGTTGTAGCTGTATTACCCTTGTTACCCTGGTGAGTCTACTCACTTGTAGTATTTACCACTTCATGTCCAAACGATATTTAAAAAACAATGGAGCTTTTTGTAGGCCCAAATATTTTCTGGGATCCGGTACATTTTGATGCCAAATTGGACGATTTTTCGTATAAAATACCGAAAAAGCGCTCCTTCTTAATTAATTAATTGTCATATCCCAGGATTTAAAGAGGAGATAAATCTTACTGAAGACGATATCAGCGCTGCAGTAACCCTCTTTGGTAAGAACTGTGAATATTTCAATCTTGGAGAGTTTAACAAAATATGTTTGGATGCAGCGAAACTATTAGACTACAATAAATTGGGACTTGCCACCCCATAGCAACATTAAAATATATCGACTCTGTTAGTAGAGGCTCTTACGGGCATTGTCTGCACGATACGCTAGGGACCCCAGATACACCTTACTAGCCGTATTTTTGACCGTATAATCGATTAAAAGTGGTTTCAAGATAATTGGACTGAGTTAGCGCGGTTAAAATCGCAAAAAACCGATTTTTGGGCCAAAAATAGGCCAAAAAACCATGTTTTTTGATAATTTGAGCAAGTTCATTTTGTTGGCATGTCGGCAAAACTTGCATAAAGATAGCTAAAAGACAGCTGCACAAGATGGTATAAAAATAAAACAAATCCCTCTATTTTAGCGCAGTTAAAAATCCAAAAAAGTGGTAAAAACTTTGACTTTTTTGCTTGAAGTTTGAATAATTTGTTGCAGTTATATTAAATCAACCCAAAAATAGTCACATCGTGTTTGCCTAAATTTTTCCTTTCCGAGAAGTACCCACTTCATATACTTTATCGAAGTTTGAATATTTTCACTCCGCAAGCGTTTTTGCCAAATTTTCGACGCGCACTACGCGCAAAAGCATTTAGTTGTTATCAATTGGCATCCGCGCGTTCATCATAAATTTCAAACAGCTATAACTCAGCGAGATTATGTCCGTTCTAGCTCATATTTTCACACCAAATAGAAAATAATGTGATCTTATTGCTGAAAAAATATAAATATAATTACTCTATTTGCCTTAGAGTAATAGACTGTCAAAGTTTAAAACGCGCATTGGTATAGCACGTGACTAATAAGGCCAAATTTATACTTCTTAACATATTATCGATCCTTAGACATCATACCATTGTGTCTAATTAGCGGTTAGGTCTCTAAACTCGTAGCAGAATACACGTCTTTTTGCCCGTAAGAGCCTCTACTATGTTACATCACCTCCTGTTTACATAAAACTCCGTAACAAATTGAACTAGGATCTTACTGACTAAGTGACAATCTTCCAATTTAAAATTATTGTTCGAGATAAGGGATCACATTACTATTTCAGGTGCCCGTGAAACCGAAACTGTTGGTAAGTCGAGAGAAAAAATTGAAGTATGTTTTCATTGCTGTACTATCCTTAATTACTTCTTAATGACTGTAAATAATCCTTAAAGCATTAAAAATAAAAGTTTAAACACTTAAAAAATTGACAATCGAAAAATTCAAGTTCAAACCTAGTTGACCGATCGTCAAACCGAAACTGTTGGTAAGTCGAAAAAATGAACTCTTCTTATTTCTTAATGCCAAAATTTAACCCAACAATCGTTATAAAATGAAAATTCAAAACACTCTAAGCAGTTGAAAATTAAATTATAACCTGTAGTTGACATTCTAAGCAGTTGAAATTAAATTATAACCGGTAGTTGACACTCTAAGCAGTTGAAAATTAAATTATAACCGGTAGTTGACATTCTAAGCAGTTGAAAATTAAATTATAACCGGTAGTTGACGGTGGATGGAGCGAATACACTCTAAGCAGTTGAAAATTAAATTATAACCGGTAGTTTTATTTAGTAGTTGACGGTGGATGGAGCGAGTACACTCTAAGCAATTGAAAATTAGATTATAACCGGTAGTTTTATCCAGTAGTTGACGGTGGATGGAGCGAATACACTCTAAGCAGTTGAAAATTAGATTATAACCGGTAGTTTTATTTAGTAGTTGACGGTGGATGGAGCGAATACACTCTAAGCAATTGAAAATTAGATTATAACCGGTAGTTTTATCCAGTAGTTGACGGTGGATGGAGCGAATACACTCTAAGCAGTTGAAAATTAGATTATAACCGGTAGTTTTATTTAGTAGTTGACGGTGGATGGAGCGAGTACGGAGATTGGTCAGATTGTAACACAGTCTGCGGAGGAGGTGTACAGACCCGGACGAGAACGTGCACCAACCCAGTACCTGGGGATGGTGGGGCAGAGTGTACGGGGGATGGTACCGAGATGAGGACTTGCAATATGGTGGACTGTGTTGGTAAGTTTTATTTAGTTATCTAGATGGTACCGAGATGAGGACTTGCAATATGGTGGACTGTGTTGGTAAGTTTTATTTAGTTATCTAGATGGTACCGAGATGAGGACTTGCAACATGGTGGACTGTGTTGGTAAGTTTTATTTAGTTATAAATATCTCCGGGATTTCGACGCGGGATCATATTATCACTCAGCCCGGCCCGCTGTTAGATAAACATCTCAAGGTGATATCATCCCGCCCCGGAAATTTGTATAAACCCGGCCCGCTTTTTAGTCGTAACTGATGTTTATCATTCAATTCTCCGACTTACAATAATCAATGATACTGCTGATTAGAACTCGATAATAGTAGAACAGTTAGACGCGCGATCACGTGGGCGCGTCACGTGCGTACCACGTGCCACCAATAGCATACGCCGAGTCTATACCACGTGACACGAAAGCGCACCACGTGATATGAAACATCGTAACCGTCCACTTCTTATACACGCAAATTCCTGGGAACGTTGCCAAAGCAGCTAATTCTTGGAATTTCTCCAACGCGTGGCGTGAGAAGTTGGCGACTAGCCAGCTACCCTTGTCCGTGCCCTAAAAATAGTATTGTTTTGCTTGCTCTCCTTCCATGCAGCTCTTGTTCCTGCTAACGTTCAAGCTATTGCTCCACTATGACAGATCGGTTTGACATTCAGATTGATGAACTGCTTTCCAATCTCTTCTAAAGTATAAATCCCTTGTCGAAATCGCCGGAGATAATTATAATCCATAAACACTTCACGCTCAGGGCTAAATAAATGTAATCCCTCAGCTGGCGCTTCGGGATTACATATTAACACAAAACTCGTGCGCTGCGCGCACTCGTATGTGTTTATCAGATCATCCCGCTAGCGCGGGATGATCTGTTATATAAACCCTTTGCGTGGCGGGTTTATGTTATTATCTAGATGGTACCGAGATGAGGACTTGCAATATGGTGGACTGTATTGGTAAGTTTTATTTAGTTATCTAATGTTATTCAGTAGAAAACGATTGTTATAACTTCTGAATAATAATGAATACAGAGAGAGAAAATAAAGTTTTAATTTCTTCTCTGAAACCCAAACACATGCATTTACAAAATAATATTCCCGCTAACAATTACAGTTCCAATAGACGGAAGGTGGAGCGATTTCGGGGCGTGGTCGGAGTGTTCAGTAGAGTGTGGAGGGGGGTCTCAGACCAGGACTAAGACCTGTTCTAATCCTCCTCCTAAGAACGGTGGTGAGGAGTGTGTGGGAGGGGACTCTGAGACTCGGAATTGTAATACTGAAGCATGTCCTGGTGAGTTTTGATATCTGTTACCTTGACACCCTGCATTAACGGGTGATCACTGATACTCGTAAAATATTTGTTTCAAATATCAAGACTGTCGACGAGTCCAACTCGGCGCGCGTCTTGGTACGTTATAAGGTTATAAACCTACAACACCCTGCACAGTGCACACGTTGCATTTCCATTTTCGTGTTATGTCTGTCATTATAAATTGAGCTATCGGTAAAAACAATTAATGAGCGCTGAGATTCTTTATATCCGCAGAAGCTGTGGAGCCTGTCGAACCTGGTGTACCTGGTCTACTTCGTAAGTGAGATTTATCCAACAACAAAAACTAGTAATTGCTATACAGTAATAGCTATACAGGAAGTCTTGAATTCATACTTGTTAAGTGCATAGTTTATTTTATTTTCTTGTTCCTTGTATCGAAAAACCTTACCTTTTCACTGTCGTAGCACATTGGGAGGTGACACAAAGTGGTACTCTTAAAACAATGTATGCTTCCCTCGCTGTGGACGGAGATCTGAGGACAAAGTGAGCTTTTCATTTACTCATGATCATATTCATAAGGTTTAGGAGAAGTGAGCCCATGTTTTTTTTGACACGTGTTTGTTTTGACACGTGTTTGTTTTGACACGTGTTTGTTTTGACACGTGGCTGTGATTTTGGGTTCTGCTAGAAGCTGATTTGGTAATCACTGTTGCTAGACAGAAGAAGATAGTGCATCTCCCCACCGGCCCACTGATATAATTAAATATATTTGTTTACTATCACGACTTACTCGACTTACTCGACTTACTCGACTTACTCGACTTACTCGACTAAGGGCGGCTTCAACGTCCGCACAGAAATAGTTTTTTTCCAAATCTGTCTATCCAGCATGAGTTTGTTTATCTCCTTGCTGTCGTCACTAGTTACTATCACTCGGATTTTATTTCTATATTTATTTATGTTGCAGATGGTTGCAGATGGTTAACATGAGCTTTTATTTGTCAGGTCGCAAACTAAATGCTCAGGAAAGGAACATGCTTGGTTCAAATACACGGTATTTTAATGATCTAATTTTCTTGGCCGCTGTTTCTTCTCACTTTGATCTTGCACTATACTTGGACATGTTTTAAATTTCCATTTCTTCGCATATTTCACGTTTAAAATAGGCAAATTAAACGCATAAAAATGTTTATATGAATTATATTATATGAATAAAATTGTTTAACTTTATATGAATTACAATTCTCGGCAGCTAGCAATAGCAAGTGAAGTAGAGACGGTGGTGATTGTAAACGGTAACTATGACAACAAGCGGTATAAGCTGGACAATGCTGTGGTATGTAATATTATATTTATAAGTTTATAGTCTGTTAATAGATTATCCAATATCCATAGTTTATCAAGTTTATTTTTAGTTCATTTTTAGTTTATTTTTAGTCTATTTTAACTACTACTACTACTACTATGTCGGAGCTAAGTCCGATCTACGCCAGAAAACCCCCTCCATATATCCCTGTCCCGCATCAGGGTTCGCAGTTCCTCTTTAGAGTTTGTCCCAACTTCCTTCAGTAACATAGACAAGTAGCTTTGTCTTGGTCGGCCTTGCTGTGCTCTACCGTGCGTAGGTTCCCATAAGACTAAATCACTGGCAAGTAGCTCAGGATGTCGGATGCAGTGTCCCGCCATTTTTAATCTCCTGCTTCGTAACTTGTTTGACAGCCTTGGGAGGCTACCATACAAAGTTATATTGCTGACCTTGTCCTTCCATGAGATACCCAGCACCATACGCAACATCTTTGTGTATGTCCCGTCCAAACTTTTCTCTTGAGCCTTTGTCAGTGTCCAGGTTTCTGATCCGTAGAGCAGTACTGATTCACAAGCCGCTATGAACAATCTAATCTTTAGGCTCTTTGAGAGTTTGGATTTCCAGATATCCTTCAGTCTATGTAGGGCACCCCACGCTTTTCCCTTTCTAACCCTTATCTCCCTATCTGTGCTCTCAATCCAGGAGCCTAAGTAGATGAAATCATCTACATTTTCTATGGCTTCCCCGGATCGACTTTGTAGGTCGCTAGATCGATCCTCCATATTCAGTGTCATGACCTTGGTCTTGCCTTCGTTTATGTGTAGTCCCACGCTTGCTGCCGCCGATTCTACTCTGAGCAGGAACTCGTTAGCCTTGTCCATGTCCTCAGATATAAGTGCTATATCATCTGCAAAGTCCACATCGGTGATTATCTTGGGCCCCACTCTTCTGCTTTTTCTACGTTCGAGGGTGAGTCCAAGTCGCTCCGCATCATCGCCTATGGCTTGCCTCATACAGTAGTCGATGACTATTGCAAAGAGGTAAGGTGCTAAGGTATCACCCTGTAACACACCTGCAAGTATCTCGAACAATTCAGTTTCTCCGTCTGGAGTTAGGACTTTGGCCATTGTCTTCTCGTACATGAGCCGTATAAGCTGCACGATTTTGACTGGAATGCCGTAAGCTTCTAGAATCTTTAGCATTTTCCCACGATGTACACTGTCGAAAGCCTTCTTAAAGTCTATAAATGTCAGAACAGCTGGCAATTTCCGACTCTTGACACCCTCTATAAGACGTCTCAGTACCAATATCTGTTGAGTTGTTGACCTTCCTGGTCTGAATCCATTCTGGTTTCTACGCAGAATTGTCTCGATTTCTGGCTTCAACCGATTTAGAACCATCTTGTTTAGAGACTTGGCAACTAGGGATGACAAGCTTATTCCCCGATAGTTCATTGGTTCGCTAAGGTCGCCCTTCTTTGGAATTGGTATGATGTTGGCAGTTGACCATTGGTCTGGTTTCTCACCTTTCAATAGAGCATTGTTACAGAAGTCTAAGACAATTTGATCAAGGTCGCATCGTTTTAAGACTTCTGGGGCTATGTTGTCGTCCCCCCATGCTTTCCCTTCCTTTATGCTGGACTTTGCTTTCCTGTACTCATCCAACGTAAACGGTTCTGTTCCGATATTCAGAGGTGGGTGGACTGGATCAATATCCTCTTCCGCGTTCTCTACCGTCGGTGGTGAGCCGAGAAGAGTAGCAAAATAGTCCTTCCATTTCTGAACCCTTTCCGTTGGTGAGTTTCCCTTGATTTTGCCAGTATATGATGGAGCTTTACCTGTGATCTTGTTGATCATGGTCCAGCTTTTAGCATGTCTGCCCCAGGAACCCTGACCGGATGGGGCTTAACTTTGAAAGTAAAAGAGTTGGAGACTTCCGGTTTTTTGTAACATGTTCCTCTTTTAAAAGTAACGTTACCTCTCCAGGAGGAAAATTCAAGACAACGTAATTAATGAGTTATCTCAAAATCTCCAGAAAAGTCCCCTTTCGGGCCGATCAAAAGTTTGCAACTTTAACTTTGCGGATTCCTGTACTCTGGTTGGCTGAATTGTGTCACGTGGTAGCTGCTTGAACATTGGAATACGCCACGCGTGCAAATCATGCTTGTTGTTGCGCGCGAGGTCGAGCCGTCTGTTTAAATTAAACCAACTCTAGTACCACCACCAGCCGGTAACTTTTCCTGGGGTACGAAGTAACCAATTAGGGCTACTAAATGCCGAACACAAGGATATTTCGTATTCGGATCATATGCCTGCAGGCTGTCTGTCGCTTAAGACCATGGTCGCTCTTAACTGAGCGATAAGTGACGTTAAGTGAGACCGTGAGCACCACTTCTTGCCAATTTGCTTTTGAATTACGGCCCAATCATGAAGTGAAACAGTACAAGTTGTGTTTTAACGGCAAAATACAGCGAATTCTAGCCCTTGAAAGTTGTAGGTTTGGAAGATCAATACGGCTGCTTTAATTCTTAAAAGTCTTAAGTTAGAACGGCCAAAACACCCTACTCGGCGTCAGCCAGCTGCACCCAGGAACCCTGACCGGATGGGGCTTAACTTTGAAAGTAAAAGAGTTGGAGACTTCCGGTTTTTTGTAACATGTTCCTCTTTTAAAAGTAACGTTACCTCTCCAGGAGGAAAATTCAAGACAACGTAATTGTTGAGTTATCTCAAAATCTCCAGAAAAGTCCCCTTTCGGGCCGATCAAAAGTTTGCAACTTTAACTTTGCGGATTCCTGTACTCTGGTTGGCTGAATTGTGTCACGTGGTAGCTGCTTGAACATTGGAATACGCCACGCGTGCAAATCATGCTTGTTGTTGCGCGCGAGGTCAAGCCGTCTGTTTAAATTAAACCAACTCTAGTACCACCACCAGCCGGTAACTTTTCCTGGGTACGAAGTAACCAATTAGGGCTACTAAATGCCGAACACAAGGATATTTCGTATTCGGATCATATGCCTGCAGGCTGTCTGTCGCTTAAGACCATGGTCGCTCTTAACTGAGCGATAAGTGACGTTAAGTGAGACCGTGAGCACCACTTCTTGCCAATTTGCTTTTGAATTACGGCCCAATCATGAAGTTAAACAGTACAAGTTGTGTTTTAACGGCAAAATACAGCGAATTCTAGCCCTTGAAAGTTGTAGGTTTGGAAGATCAATACGGCTGCTTTAATTCTTAAAAGTCTTAAGTTAGAACGGCCAAAACACCCTACTCGGCGTCAGCCAGCTGCACCCAGGAACCCTGACCGGATGGGGCTTAACTTTGAAAGTAAAAGAGTTGGAGACTTCCGGTTTTTTGTAACATGTTCCTCTTTTAAAAGTAACGTTACCTCTCCAGGAGGAAAATTCAAGACAACGTAATTGTTGAGTTATCTCAAAATCTCCAGAAAAGTCCCCTTTCGGGCCGATCAAAAGTTTGCAACTTTAACTTTGCGGATTCCTGTACTCTGGTTGGCTGAATTGTGTCACGTGGTAGCTGCTTGAACATTGGAATACGCCACGCGTGCAAATCATGCTTGTTGTTGCGCGCGAGGTCGAGCCGTCTGTTTAAATTAAACCAACTCTAGTACCACCACCAGCCGGTAACTTTTCCTGGGTACGAAGTAACCAATTAGGGCTACTAAATGCCGAACACAAGGATATTTCGTATTCGGATCATATGCCTGCAGGCTGTCTGTCGCTTAAGACCATGGTCGCTCTTAACTGAGCGATAAGTGACGTTAAGTGAGACCGTGAGCACCACTTCTTGCCAATTTGCTTTTGAATTACGGCCCAATCATGAAGTTAAACAGTACAAGTTGTGTTTTAACGGCAAAATACAGCGAATTCTAGCCCTTGAAAGTTGTAGGTTTGGAAGATCAATACGGCTGCTTTAATTCTTAAAAGTCTTAAGTTAGAACGGCCAAAACACCCTACTCGGCGTCAGCCAGCTGCACCCAGGAACCCTGACCGGATGGGGCTTAACTTTGAAAGTAAAAGAGTTGGAGACTTCCGGTTTTTTGTAACATGTTCCTCTTTTAAAAGTAACGTTACCTCTCCAGGAGGAAAATTCAAGACAACGTAATTGTTGAGTTATCTCAAAATCTCCAGAAAAGTCCCCTTTCGGGCCGATCAAAAGTTTGCAACTTTAACTTTGCGGATTCCTGTACTCTGGTTGGCTGAATTGTGTCACGTGGTAGCTGCTTGAACATTGGAATACGCCACGCGTGCAAATCATGCTTGTTGTTGCGCGCGAGGTCGAGCCGTCTGTTTAAATTAAACCAACTCTAGTACCACCACCAGCCGGTAACTTTTCCTGGGTACGAAGTAACCAATTAGGGCTACTAAATGCCGAACACAAGGATATTTCGTATTCGGATCATATGCCTGCAGGCTGTCTGTCGCTTAAGACCATGGTCGCTCTTAACTGAGCGATAAGTGACGTTAAGTGAGACCGTGAGCACCACTTCTTGCCAATTTGCTTTTGAATTACGGCCCAATCATGAAGTGAAACAGTACAAGTTGTGTTTTAACGGCAAAATACAGCGAATTCTAGCCCTTGAAAGTTGTAGGTTTGGAAGATCAATACGGCTGCTTTAATTCTTAAAAGTCTTAAGTTAGAACGGCCAAAACACCCTACTCGGCGTCAGCCAGCTGCACCCAGGAACCCTGACCGGATGGGGCTTAACTTTGAAAGTAAAAGAGTTGGAGACTTCCGGTTTTTTGTAACATGTTCCTCTTTTAAAAGTAACGTTACCTCTCCAGGAGGAAAATTCAAGACAACGTAATTGTTGAGTTATCTCAAAATCTCCAGAAAAGTCCCCTTTCGGGCCGATCAAAAGTTTGCAACTTTAACTTTGCGGATTCCTGTACTCTGGTTGGCTGAATTGTGTCACGTGGTAGCTGCTTGAACATTGGAATACGCCACGCGTGCAAATCATGCTTGTTGTTGCGCGCGAGGTCGAGCCGTCTGTTTAAATTAAACCAACTCTAGTAC